TCTCCCAGAAGTATCTTGGACTGTCTCAGCCCCAAGAGTTAGTTCCAATTATTGGTTCTTCTACTGCCCAATTCTTTTTTAATCTCTCCTAATATTATGTTACTGCTGATACCGCAGAACGGCTCAGGTCCTACAAAGGGTGTTTGAGCCCCTTTCCTTGCAAGACTATCTGCAATCTTATTACCCTGTACTCCGTTATGTCCCGGGACCCAAGTGAGAGTAACTCTATTTTTCTCGCCTAGCTCATTCAATTGTTCTAGGCATCTCCATACCATTTTTGAGCTGATTACGTAGGAGCTTAGTGCTTTGATGACTGCTTGACTATCGGACATGATGATAAGCTCTTGTCTATGACAGTTTCTCTTGATGTTGAACTGGATACACTTCTCGATGGCGTGAATTTCGGCCTGGAAGATGCTTGGGTATTTTCTCAAGCTTTCGGAGTGCTTGGTTCTCGGCCCATACACTCCTATTCCAGTTCCTTCTATGGTTTTGGAACCGTCCCACTGAATAGCACGTCTTTTGATTGCAAGCGCGATGAATTCTTGGCTCCATTCTTTCTTGCAGCCCAGCGTTGTGGTTCACTCTTGCTTAGGAATGTGGTGATTTTGGTCTTTCCTTGGCCAAACGGTGCTGAGGTGGTATCGCACCCTGTTGACGTGTGAGTGAATTGTACCGTCCCTGGTCCTAATGGTTGTAGGAGGACGTAGAGTAGTGACAACAACCAGCTTCGCCTTTCTTGTTCTTCTGAAGGTAGACGTTTGTCTCTTCAGCGCCTAAACTATTGAGAAAACGAGCGGATGACGTCTTCTACCGCTACTGTTCTTTTTGAAAACGCCGTCATGACGATCTCTCGATCGGCATCTTCTTCGGCAACAGTCACTTCTACTCCCTTCTTCTGAAAGGGGTTACAGAGAAGAGTTATTGTAACTGTTTGATAAATAAAACCATAAAAAGACGTGATAAAAGTTTATTTGCATTTTCCCCCAAAACCCGCTTATCACTTATATTTTATGGTTATCTGCCGTTTTTGAGAGCCTACAGGTACAAGTCTGGTCTCAGATGAAAGCGAATTAAATTTACTACAACTTCATTTCATATATTTGACGCGCGATGCGTATTTTAGAAGATATTTCACAAAATAAGTAATCATTTCGAAAAATAATTAACTCTTTGGAAAAATGGCCTATTTTCGAACTTTATCTTGGGAACCAATGACCGTATAGAGCTCTCCCTACTCTCAAATTGTAGCAAATTTAGTCTTCTTTAAAAGTAAGTAAAATGACTGTTCCGGTCAGACCCTTCCTTCACTGAGATATTGAGCAAAAACTGATAAATTCCGAAAATTTCACGATTTTGTGGATACACCGCCGCTCGCACAACACTTTTGAAATTACAAATCTGGTTTTTTAATATTGGTTTAGGTCCTAATAACATATAAAGAATTCAGAACGACCGGACCTTTCGCAAGCACGAGCCCCTTTTCATGTTTAACTTTAGTGCATTGAATTATAATAAAATGAAGTATCACACTTGACGATACGTAACAGTTTTGTATCAAGCTAGAGGGCACTAAAATCAAAAGTAACGCAATGAATAGTCTTATTGTTGAATTCTCCATCAAATTACCATTTCAATGTTGTGTCATCCTAGGTATTTTCCCTATTTAGAATTGTAGGGGTTCTTCAACCCACTGCTCGAGGGGAGGGTTAAAGTGCTGATGCTGCAATTACAAAAAAAAATGTCCTCCTCCATACTAAAATCATCCTGTTTCAGAATTTTATTAAAATCCAATTAATACTGCCAAATAACAGAGTGGACTGTTTTGAGTAACCCACTCTACATATATGTAAAAGATATTAACAATATTTTATTGTGCAATTTTTTGTAATATTTAGTTAATATATTTAAGATTTAAATTATAAAACAACAATATTTAAAACATGAATGTTTAACCCAAAATCGATGAAGTGACATTTCACATGTATGTTGTGTATCATGTGAAATAAACATTCCACTTTACCGATTAAGGGTTAATATGAATTGATAATTTTATTTATATTAATATACATTTTTTTAGAATAAAAATAGATTTACTTATTTTTAATCAAAATAATGGTTTATTTAAAGTATCGAAAATTATTTTAAAATGTTGACCCAAAAACCAATAGAAATTACATGAATTTCCATAATAATCACCCATGTTTAAGACACCCCAGTGGCGCATCCAGAGTTTAAGTCTGGGGTCGTAGTGGTAATAAGACTTTATTTTTGATAAAATAGTACGTCTTAGTTTATAAAAAATTAGGTTTAAAATTTCTTGGGGGTACTTACCCCCTTTATCCCCCATATATACGCCCCTGAGACATCCTGCTGGTGAATATTAAGGTTAAGGTCGTTGTTTTTAAGTACCCCAATGGACGTTTCAGTTGTTTTAATTACTTTAGAAAATCTGTCAAAAATAATCAGTAAACGAATGTTAGGAATGTTTAACAAAGATGTCTTAGTATTACTGGCATCTGACAATGCACCAAAGTTGGTAAATAGGAGCAGGAACATGAAGAAATTTTTCCAGAGGCAGGAAATTTTATTCTTTTGCACAGGCATACGATAAATATGCATTTTAATTAATTACAAAAATTATTTAAATTTATTATAATTAAAGTTAAGTATAATACTAAAATTTAAATAAAATACCAATCCTCGTAAATTAATAAAATTTAAATAGATAAAAAAACAACCTTAAAATTCGAATTAAAATAACATAATAAGTCGTTAAAAAATTGTTTGACTATTTCGCAATAGTTTTGTTTCATACTTTATGTCAATGCTAAATAGAGAAATAAAACTGTTCTATTGGGTTACCTAAAAACATTATAGCTGTTTCTCTCAGAGTCTGTTTACAGATTATTAGTAAAATTGCGGAAATTCATATTGGACGTATATGAACATCCTTTCAAATAGATTTGACATTTTTTCGAACTTTTCAAGAAAAAAAAAATGCGACTGGTTCAAAATGTATTCGCGCAAGTCCAGTTGTATTGTAACTGCAATTATGGGGCAAAATGGCAGAAATGAGCGCTGCTAATTAGTTTAAAAGTCTCCAGAGCAGTGGTTCCCGACCCTCAAGAGGACCTCAAAGTGTTTTCTAGGAAAGGGCACGTTTTTTTATAATTTTAATTATTTTTAGTATAATTTCACATTGAGATTTTTAACTTTTATTTATTAAATTCCACTATCTTCTAGATCAACAGATATAACTTCCCAATTTCGAAATATTATACTCCTTTAGATGACATCAAACAAGAGTTCACTTATAACCACTAAAAAAGCTAAAGATATCTTTGAAACTTGAGGACTAGAGGAAAAACAACTGTATGACTTGTACAAATGGAGCACCAGTCGGGCTTTCAAACAAAAGTGAAAGAATTTGCTTCCTTCTTTCCAACGGGCATTCGCGTCATGATTTATAGACATGATCTTGCCAGTAAGACTATTTCAGCTCCTCTGCAAGAGGTACTTAATTGTATGATACAAATTGTATATTATATCTGGTGCCCTTAATACTTTTGTATTATAAACTGAATTTTAATCTAGAGAGTCTTCTTTTTTTATATTGTTGTATGCTGGTTGCCGAAAGGAAATGTTGAGTTGAAAAATAAAATCAAGTTGTTTTTGGAAGTGAAAGGAAAACATGAACATGTAGCTCATCATTTTATTGTTGATGCTTGGAAAAGAAGAGTTGTTTGTTTAGCAGACAATATATCATGGACGAGATACTAAAAATAAATCCGCTCCATCCCAACCAATATGCATATCAGCTAGTAAAGTAAAGGCTGCTTTCAATAGATGATAAAGAGTTCCTGTTTTGTAGTACACTTGTAACCACTAAAAAAAGCTTAAGATATCTTTAAAACTTGAGTACTAGAGGGAAAAAGTCTGTAAGACTTGTACCGATGGAGCACCAGTCGGGCTTTCAAACAAAAGAAAAAGAACTTGCTTCCTTCTTTGCAACGGCCATTCACATCATGATTTATAGATATGATCTTGCCAGTAAGACTACTCCAGTTTCTCTTCAAAAGATACTCAAAGAAATCGTAATAGCTGCTTTCTTAAATAACGAAAGTTTTCAATAATACCTCAATCAGGTCAATAACGAAGGTTCTTAGAACATAGAAACGTCACAATATGCCAAAAGATTAATGCCAGCCTAGAGAATAGGATCATTTTGTCAACTCTAGAAAAGGCAACCATACACGGGGCTGTTCACAGGGAGAAATACTATCTCCAAGTTCTATCGGATCACCTTACTCAAAACATTGTCCAAAGAAGACTGCCAGTACCTCAGAAACGCTAACTACCTAGCAATTATTGTTAGGTCTAAACAAAATGAGCATGTTTCCATTAACGCACAAAACACAATAGTTGTACCATTCATATAAAAACCTATACTTACAGAACCATAGTACTAAATAACATGGTTATTCCATTTGCCACAAAACATCTCAAAAAACTCGCTTACAAAGCTACAATAGCTCTCGTAAGCTGTAGAAGAATAAGTGAAAAAACTGAGGTATATACCCCAAAATAAACATATACACAAGGGTGATAAGACCCATGATAACATATGGCGCAGTGGCGTGGGCACATACTTTGATTACTTTACGATGCAAGAGAGAGGTCCCACATGCCCAACATAGGGCGCGGCCATTTTGATGCCTTTACCACAGTTTATAGCTAAAGAATCAGTTCGCTCACTCTGCGTCGGCACTTTTGATCTCAATGTTCCAGTTTATACACTACGTAACTCGGATAATACAATATATGACAACCGCATATAATAAAACAGCAGTCTTCTGCGCATCCTGAATTTGTATCTCTGGAGTGAATGTTATTTTGGAACATTCAACTGGTCCGAGTAAGCTAACTGATTCTTTAGCAATAAACTGTGACTCGAAAAATAATATTCACTGACACTGACAGCAGCAAGCAAAATATTCAAAATATTGCGCCAAGATGTAGGCAACACGTAATAAGGCATCAAAATGGCGGAGTTTTCTATCTCCTTTAAAAAGGCACTCAGAAAGCTGCATTGCGACCATTCTCCGTATAGTAAGAGAAAATCAAAGTATGTGGGCGTGGGTAACCAAAACTGATCATATAATTGCAACTCATCGGCATTTAGCGGCTAGCCTATCTGAGTGTCACTAGGACCATGCGTACTACGCCAACTGCAGCATTGGAGGTACTATTAAACTTCACGATACGTTATTCACAGGCTAGTGCAGGGTTAAAGCCTTATAAGCCAACTACATAGAGCTGACCCTAAGAAGTTAAATCAGCAAGTAAAAAAGAATAAGATTATAGAAATACCCACTTATATACCCATAACCACATACAAGTTTAAAAGACATTTTCAAATTTAAATACCAGCCTGAGAATCCTGGAAATGAACCTCTCATACAGGCTGAACTCATCTGGTATATAGACGGTTCAAAAACCAAGGAAGTAGCTGCTGCTGGAATCTTTGGACCAAAGTCAAAAACAACAATATGCATTAGTGTTCCAGGCTGAACTAACAGCCATACAACATTGTGCAAGAGAAATAATAAATTAGCAATTATTAAGCAAAACAAAGTGACTTTAGCCTGGAAGCCAGGCCCAGGGTAACGAAAAAGCCGACGAATTAGCCCTAAAAGGCCATGACAGGTCCCTAACCCTTCTGTGGAGTTGCTAAGGCATTGTGCAAGGTATCTATCAAACAAAGAAAGAGTCTTAGGAATGTTGGAACAACTATCGAAGATTGAGACAGGCCAAACAGTTCATCAAGGCCAAGTTCACGAAAGTCCTACAATAGATCTGAGAATATCGTGGTGGACAAACTCCTTTTAAATCTAATCTAATCTAGCAGACATCGAAGACCATCCAATAAAATAAAAATGAATCTGCAGGTATAGGAAACACATATTATCCAGTTTCAATACAATTTTCAAGCATTTGTATCCAAGCTCCAAAAATGGCGTAAGAAAGCAAATTTTGAATAAAAAACTGCTGTTTGGTAGAGGAATCTAAAGATGAACTGGATAATGATGTGAAGGAAGAGATTTCTGAGGACTTTGAGTCCCTTGAAAATAAATTTAAGTGGTACTTCCACGAGCTTACAAAAGAAGTGGATTTTAAACGCTTTTTCATAATGAAATAAAGAAACAGATTAAATGTTGATGATCGCATGAACTTGGCTTTGACCAACATTCAGTTACGATTTTTAAAACTGGTTAACCAAATTCAAACACAACCATCGCATCAAATATTAAATAAATCAAGTAGAAATGAGAAAAACACAAAGTCTGTCGACCACTGGATCTATAATAGATTAAAAAATTATAAAGCCAAGCGCTTTCGACTAGTGATGTGATCATTCGAATGGTAAATCATTCGAATATTCGATTAGTACCATCATTCGAATTAATTCGATTATACCAATTTCCATTTAAATCATTTGAAATGTCTAAAACTACAATAAACGACTCTCTAGGGACCTATTTTCAAATTATGGGAGTATTCAATTCTCTCAAGATTTTCATGAAAAATGAGAAGTGTCATTTGTCAACGTGGAAACAGTATTTAAAACAAAAGCCAGTGAGAACTAACTGACTGTTTATCTTGGTTTATTTCGAGAGATCTCACTGGCTTTCAAATACTCTTTTTAACGATGACATATTATATGACATTTTTCTTAAAAATCTTGAGAGAAATAATTTATCTCCAGTTTGAAAATAGGTCCCCAGGTGACTTGTTGAAATATGGAGTAGAGTAGGCCGCCAAAATTACTTATTTATCTTAATTGGGATACACATAGAACGTTTTTGCGTCTTGGATTTCAGCGTACAGCGATCTGATTGGAGTCGGGGAATCACCTAGTCATTCCAATTAGTTCGCCGCGCGCCCAATGAACTGGAGTGGGGTAGAAAGCTAATGTGCATATTTTATCAATTGAACAAGATGCGACTCTATGGGCGCAGCCATTTTTATTTCTCATCTCACTCGGGAGTATTTATGATAACCATTTTCTGTTTCACATTGTTATTGTTCAATCCACAGGCTGGTGGATCAGACAATAACAAAGTGAAATAGAAAATGGTCGTTATAAATACTCCTGAGTGAGATGAAAAATAACCTGTCTTCGCCCATAGAGTCGCATCTCAAGCCTATTGACAAGCATTCTACCCCACTCCAGTTCATTGCGCGCGCCGGTGCCGTAAGTCAAAACGGTTACATGATATATAAAAATAAATATTGACATATGACGTTTTAGACTTTGGTGTACTGCGTTCTGACTGGATAGTTAACTATCAATACATTATCTTTTGACTACCCAAACATTGATTCATTGATGATGATGATGGAATATAATAAATCATTCGAATGATATGATTCGAATACTCGATAAATTTGTATAATATTTAATTAAATCTTTAATTATTTAATTAAATATTACGTTTGGCTTTTGTTCTGAAAAATCAAGGTATAGTATATTAACTTTATCCTATTGAAAATGCCATTCTATACAAAAATGGCGGGGTCTCAGGTTACTCGGCAATTATAAAAGGCTGGGAATCACTGAACTAAAGTACCTATACAGTTCGGGCATAAGAATTTTTGTTGAAATATAAAAGAATTAATAAATATTTAATTATTAAATTCTCAAATTTGTTTGGTATATTTGGAACTAAGTTTTTCTTGCGCTGAAAAGGAAAATTGTGAACTATAAACTTGCTCTTTTACTTATTCTACAACAATTTTCGATACTTAATATAAATATTTAAAAAATAATTTAATTGGTACTAAGTATCACTTTTCTAGCCTTCATGATCATCTTTGATTTATGTTCACACGTCCTCTTCCTCTTTTTCAGAGGTCTTTTTAGCACCTTAAAAACCTCCTTGCCACTCACGTCTATATCACCGAAAACAGTTTTACTCTCTTCTACTTCAGTCTGACTAGAACAATCTTTTTTCTCCACCTTGTCTTCTCTTTTGATGGGTAGAGGTATCGGTATGGGAATCGGTATTGGAATGATGAAGGGATAAGGTACTAAGGTAGTGGGGGGCGGTATTAACGAATGAAAAGGTTTTTGTAAAATTGAATTGATATTATTAGGAGGCGTTGGTCGCGTCTCCGTTTCGGGCTTAGAAGAAGGTATTCTGGATTCTACTGGTAACTTTATTGGCTTGAATAATGGAATATTATCATTATCTGCTGATGGTAACTTATCAATAACATCAGTAGGAGTGTGTCTGATCCTCAAATCTTGAGGAACATCATCTACAGAAAACGAAACTTTATCTATGTCATTGGTTATGCAAGTAACGGTAGCCGGTAGTCTCTTCCGCATTTTCTTCTGGCTCTTCAGAAGGTGCCTTTTGCTGCTATCCGACACCTCGGCCATCTTCGTGGGACGGGGAGAAGCAACCAAACTAAGAGGTGACATTTGGAAAGGTTTTTCCGGCGGTTTTGGAGATATATTCGGGGAGGGACTACGCAATTCAGGCGATTTGCAGTTCTTTAACCACAGATCCGGCGTGATAAGTGTCCCGCTCGATGATTCATCTACGCGTAAATGATGAGGATGGAGTTCGAGGTGTGCTCTGGTTTCTCGACAGAACAGATGCATTTTGTATTGGTTTAAGCATTTTTCTGAGCAAAACTGAAGTTGGGAAGCGCCGTCCTGAAACAATTAATTCTAATTAGGACCAAGTAAACTGTTTAATTTAGATTAAATATTATGTAGGTACAGTAAGACTCAAAAACGGATAACATAAAAATTTACTTGAATGAGAGGTGACAATTTGACAATTTAACAACTTACAATAAGTATCATAAACTAAAGATGATAGACAATGTTTATAACTGTTTCTAACTCCCCCATAAACCAACCTATCTCAAAAAAAATGGCATTCCCTTCTTGTCACATATCAACGGAAAACTAGAAAAAAATGCTTTTCAACGATATGAGATAGAAAGCAGATATCATGTTTATCTGTCCAGGAGTACAAAATAAATTGTTTTATTAACTTTACTTTTATAAAATCATCTTTAGTATAACTAGCCATTGTAAGTTTTTAAATTGTCACCCCGTATATATCTCTAAGGTGGGATTGTGGGTTGCTCCACAACACTTATGCCTCACTTGGCACATTGTGTATCCACGGAGGTGACCTATATAATAACAAAAATCACTTCCGTGGACTTGTAAGAGAGGGTACAATGAGAAAATTACAGAAAAGTGGACTGCAAACACCATAAAAGGACACTGGACAAAGACGCTAATCCCTAGTATAGAGGAATAGGTCAACTGTAAACACAGGTACACGAACTATTGAATGAAATAGTTTCTAAGTGGCCCCAGATGCTATGACTTCTTCACCTATATTGGAAAAAAAGTGGATTAATTATGTTACTACTACATCAATATATATACCGCCGATCGCACTGTTTTCAGGATGTCAGAGATGGAAAAACGAAAGATAGGAGGTCAGAGATTAACATCAGAAAATCTAATAAAATAACATGGTAAGAAAAACATAAAATTTTGAAAAGGTTGATGAATTTGTAAGTCGCATAAAGTTCGAAACGGGGAGAGAAGAAAAAAGACTTCCAGCAAGCCGAAAGAAGAGACTGGTACTAAACATAATAGATGAAGCCGAAGAGGTCAACGAAAGCTTTAATTCGATCTTGCCGTCAACCTCTTTGGAAAAAGAAACATGATGGATGGAGGGAGGAGTTTTAGCCGGAGTAGTGTTCGACACTACCAGACATATAGATCTAATGTCTGATGCCAAGCGGTTTTCCGTTCACCAAACACAAAGGCCAATTGTGCATATCCCTAAATAGATGAGACTTCTTGTAGCTCGTCAGCCAGACTACAGATTTAATGTAGTTGACAGTGGCCAGTCGGAATGCCTGTGACAAGGCGCAGATTCTGTCTAGTCATAGTTAAGTTGACAGGGTAACTTTAGAGCTCCTTACCAACTATACAGCTTCTTATTTCATCCCATCTGTCCTTGAATATCACAAGCAAATGTTCTTTAATTAGGTTTCTCACGACACAGATATTGTTAGTCCAAATATAGGCCCAAAAAGTCATTGGGTAGCTGCTTTCTTGGTTAGTGACCATATTGTTGATGGATACTTCGACCAAGACTTGCTGACATTCTAGTATTAACCCTAAGTAAATTCGTATCTTTCCAGGGTGAGTATTGCTTGTTTGCTGTCTGTACAGATGAGCATGTTCCTTCTGGTGATATTGTTTCTGGTAATTTCTTTTCCTGGTATGAGAATCTTAGTTAGCTCAGTTTCTTCACTGCATAAGTTTAATGATTTGGAGTATATTGTAGATATGAATCGTGCCTGCCACTTACGATTCTTTTATATTTTTCGTTATAACTTATGGAGCGCTGTGAAAAGGAGTCGATGTTCGCTTGAAGCAGTAGAAGCCTGTCGAGGGCTTCCTGCCAAAAATCACAATGTCCTTGCTAGGATTCTGTAAATATAGTTTGACTGTACCTAACCTAACTCAACCAACCTAGTAAAATTAAGACTGAATACCTTGACAGAACATTTCAACCAAATGAAGCCGAAAATATTTTTGAACCTTATTTAAAAAGAGATTGGAAAAATCATACTATTCGTATAAATGTATAATAACAAAATGAATATTTAGAAACTTATTGAACATATCTTTCATCAAAATCCTTATAAATAGGTAAAGTTTTAGAAGATTGTGAAGCAAATATAGAAAAAACTATAAAGAATTTTTATTGCGTATTCTTTTTTATATAAAATGATTCCAAAAATAATATTTTCAAATAACACTCGTCCTTGGTAATATTTCTTTGGTAATATTTAAAATTAATGCATATAACTCATATTTTCTTACTTGGATATCAACGTACGAGACGGTATGTTTGACATGTCGACACCAATCACAAGTTTTGTTCTTTTTGAAATTGGCTCTTCTCGAATGGGAAAAACAGAGCTCTGAGCAGAATACCGTCGGACCAGATGACAAAGTAGTAGTTTCGTCAACTGTTTTGCCGCACCATCCACAGCAATCTACAATAAATACATAAATAAAAATGATTAGTATAAAACCACTTTTTATGCTTATGTTATGAGCTCTTTTAAATACACTACACAGGGATTGTATTTTGCTTGGGCATAGTGCAGAACTCTAAGGAGTTACAGTAAGAAGAATATGCATATGAAGCGAGACTAAGAGAGAGAGAAAGCATGTCATCCGTCGACTCTGGCGCGCAAAAGAAGTGGGATTTAAAGCGTGCTTGCTTTTTATTGAGCCAAGAGTAGCTCCAGGGAAGGGGCCATGGCCTCTCAATATTAAAATTCTTATAATACAAAAAGTATTATTATGGGCAATACTGGGTGGTGAACGGTTTGAAATTTATTAATTTAGATGAAATCCAAGAGGTTTTAAAAATGTTTATGAGAATTGTTTTTTGTTGTATGGGGATAATAATTGTCAGACGGGTATAGCAAATATTGTCAGAGTTGTTAGTTTTTTGTTATTGTTATACAGTGTGTCTACTTAAGTTGGAACCATATGGAAAACATTTTTATTATTGATTTTAGGAAAAAAAGTTATTCTTGATAAAAAGTCCTGCATGACCCAAAACTTAAAATACAGTCATCAGATATCAAATTTTTCAAGCCGTATACGAGGTTTGTCAAAAAATATGAATTTTGCTCAAGAGTAAAGTACGTTTATTTTTTTACAAAATCGAAAATTTTCATTAAGAAATTTGCTAAATTCTTCACAAACATCAACAAAAGAAAAGCGTATCATGTTTATAGTAGCTAACGTATAGTGTATAGAGTTTATAAAAAATAAGAAAATATGTTTTTTCAGATAGATCGGTGTAATTGCATATTTGAATGTAATATTCAATTCTTATCAACTTTTCTTAATGAAAATTTTCGATTTTGTCAAAAATAAACGTACTTTACTCTTGAGCAAAATTCATATTTTTTGACAAACCTCGTATACGGCTTGAAAAATTTGATATGTGATGACTGTATTTTAGGTTTTGGCTCATGCAGGACTTTTTATCAAGAATAACTTTTTTCTTAAAATCAATAATAAAAATGTTTTCCATATGGTTCCAACTTAAGTAGACACACTGTATATGTATTGTAGAAAATTGTATAAATTATGTATGGATAAAATGAATAAAGAAGAAGTATAAAAAAAGGTAAAAAGATTTTTTTACAAATTAAAAGAATGAAATAGCAAATAACGCAGGGACACAGAAAAAGAGCAGAGTCAAAGAGTTAAGCCTTGGTTTCTTTGAACACTCCGTCGCGGTGAGCGGACAGTCCGTCGACCACTGAGGACAGCAATTTTCGCCCGAGGTGGTTTGTTAAAAAATATAGAAAATGATACTTTCTCTATGTCTGTACGTGCTGTTTATGTATTATGAATGTAAACGAAAGGTACTAAAATGGTTGCAAATAAATTGTTTGCGTTGTTATTATTATTGGAAGAGGAAGAACAAGAGGAACTGGCAATTGCAACCGTCAAAGTTTCCAATAAGCCAGTGAATGAGTTGTTTTTCTGTCGCGATACAGAAGATGCCTTTAATATCACTGTGCAGCGGAGGCTTTTTGGAAATGAAACCAAATTTAGGGAGTATTTTAGACTTTCTACAGATCTTTTTGAATTCGTGTTGAGTTTTATAAAGGACATAATTTACAAGAAACCTAAAAATAAAGTCATGATGTCATCTGTATGTGTGAATTTGTCACTCATTGTTTTAAAATTAATAACAATATAGTCTCCGCACACGCCGACGATTCCGCTGATATCAAACTCAACAGATATCAATTGACTCTTTGCGACAAATCAGCGGCATGACGCCGTCCTGTTCAGCTAAGCGGATTCAAAAAAACCATTCCCATTTAAATACTCTGGTTGGATAAAATCGTCAAAACGCGACGGTTGACGGACTGTCCGCTCACCGCGACGAAGTGTTCAAAGAAACCAAGGCTTTAGCAGTGGCTACAATAGTTGGAAAATTAACAGTAAGCAGATAGAGCAGGAAGAGAACTTAGACATATAGGAGAGGCTTTTGGTAGATGGACCGGCGACTTCGAGAAATTCGCGGTAATTTTTGTTCGCCAGTGTCGTATCATGGGATAAACATAATACCAGTCAATTTAAACTGATACCGACGGAGTATCGCGTTCATTTCGGTTACCTCCACGGCAAAACTGTCAAATCATGTGAATGAAGTGGGAGAACTGCGAAAAGCCTGCCCAATTCATGGAGAAAAGATAGTTAGTCCAACTTCTATCCATGCTCTAGTTGAGCAGTTAAAGAGATAGAGGGAAGCAGAATATTAAGAAAAGAAAATTTATTATTTAACACTACGTCAACCAATGACAATCATACCTTATTCCAATACAGACAAATTAAAACAAACTCAATTCCGATTGGATTTAAAAATTAAATTCATTGCCGGAATAACATATCAACGATTTATGGGAAATGTCAATGTGAAGTTTATCAAAAAGTGACAAAAAATGTACAAATATAGTTTTAATTGGTGAACTATACATTTTAAATACACAGGCGATTTCATCTTGCGGAAACAAAGCAAATGTTTATAAAAGTTCTGTTTATATTTTTAAATAATCTTTCCAAATACCACGAAAGATAATAATTTTTTTGCGAAATACTACTCGACTGAGGTCTCGTGGTAATTTAAGGAGGATTTTGTTCGTCAAATTTAGACACATAATTTACAAAGACACAACAAAATGTTCTCAAATAATTCTCACCTCTTGTGGTATTACCTTTGAAAATTGGATTTTATAAAAAACCTTCACTAGATTGAGATTGTTGTTTGATTGGAAATGATAGATACTTGAAGAGGTTTTCATATCAATATAATAATAATATAAAGCTTTATACATGCTTTTTATGCCCGTAGCCGTGTTATTTGTTTCATTCCTTTCTGTCTTTGGACTTCTTATATTCTCTTTTTCTTAAAAGTTTGGGTTTTGTAGGCCATGGTTTTTGACGTCCTTCTATCTCTGATCCTCCTCTATCCCATTTTTTTAATATTCCCCAGTCAACTGTAGTCTCTTTGATTATATAACCAGATTTACAGGGTGACAACTCAAAAATTTACAATGGTTTGTCTCATGAACTAAAGAAAACCAAATAAAAACAATTTATTTTCTACTTCTGGACTAGAAATATTTAAAAACATTTAATTCAGATAAATTTGTTATCTCCTTTTTATATATTATTCAACCATCCTGTATATAGTATAATTTATATTGTTGAATAGTGAACGTCAATTAGGAGGTTGCTATTTATTTATTTGTTTCGTTTTGTTGAGGTAGGTGGCGCATAAGGTGTAGCTTCTGGATTTTGTCGTTCCTCCTTCGTATTCTAATTTATGAGATATTCATTATAAATTTTTAAATGTCGCCGTGTATACAAGTCTCTATATATTTTATATATTATTTTTTTTTCACCTTTTGTCTATCTTTTGTCCCCTAATATAATCTTCAAAAATTTTTTCCCATCTCTCGAATCGTTTATTTTTAAATTTTAAATAAAAATTAATTAACATATCAGTTTATAATCATTTTGGAAGATGAAAACTATTATCGTTTCAAGTTAAAGATTACAAAATAGATTTATTTTTATTAGTTGGCTGCAGCTTTGGTTACATTATTTTTTGACCTTTGCAAACGTGAGCCTACAATTTTTATTTTTATTAAAGATCTAAAATTAAAATTTAATTTTGATGAACTTTTGATACATTTTCAATATAAGTGAGCTAGAGAAAAATAAATGTTGCATTTTGTTCTGAGAAAGATCGCAGTTGTATTGTAAACAGTTTTTAGTTGTTTCTCCCCCTACCCTACGCCTAAAGGATCAATAAAGAATCGCCATTATAAATCAAGAAATAATTTTTCTACTATTAAAAATAGATTGTTTTTAAAAAAATATATTTTATATTTTTATATATAAAATTATACAATAAAAGTAGAAAATCTGGTGAAAATCAGAACCTAATGAAGTTTTATTTTTACCACACATGTTTTTGCCTCCATGAGCTGTAATAGATTGCAAGTTTTTCCAACGAAGATTCTTTTTTCAACTCTTAAAAATATCTTTTACACTAGTCGTGCCATGAATACTATATCAATATCAAGAAGTTCTTCATACACTTCATAGCTTTTAGTCCAGGATCCGTAAGTAAGGTCGACCTTCACCCATCTGTTTAATGGATAAAAAATTTTTTTTATTAAATAAAATATGTTTTTAAATATACCGCAAATGGGTTGCCTAAGAAAATACGGTCACGGCCATTTTTTACTTTTTTTTCTGTGTACAGATAAGGAAAGTATGCGAATCATGATAAAAGTTGCTTATGATGTCATTCTCTATTATTTTGTTTCTATACGTGATTTCCCTAAAATGGATCTAATTTGAGATATTTAAGAAAAAGTGCAAATTTCGAATTTTGAAGACAACTCAAAAACGGATGAAGAGAAAAACACCAAATTTTAAACTTAAGCTTGAATCCATCGTGGGGTGAGCTAATTAAAGTTTGGGCATAGTAGAAGCATCTGGGGAATAGTTTACAGGGTGTCGTTTTTTTTACTTTAAAAAAATAAATAGTCGGGACCGTATTTTCTTAGACAACCCATTTGCGGTATATTTATAAACATATTTTATTTAATAAAAATAAACTTTCATCCATTAAAGAGATGGGTGAAGGTCGATCTTACTTCGGATATTAGACTATTTTATTTACGCCTCGAAAAAAATCAACACCTGAGCCAGTATCTGACACATCCGTTGACTCATCCAAGGCCAAAGAAAACCATTCAAGATGTTCATTTTTGTCAGACAGTTGAGATTATTAAATTTCTACGATGTCTTGTACCCTGCGAGCAACGGTGTTTGCTGACAAACTGACAGTTTTAAATAAATTAACCTTTTCGGGGCACATTTCTTCGGCTACTGCAATTACGCATTCTTTGATCATTTCTCCATCGGTGAATGGTTTTCCACG